GCATAAGGATATGCTGATTAGCCAATGAAAAGGGTAGCGGTCGTATGCCAATTACCATGTTTCTCTTTTATTAGTGTAGATGGGTGATAACCCATTAGCTGGTTATGGCCTGTGTTTTTTCAAAATAAAATAGAATGAAAATATCAAGAGGTATTACTTATAGTAAGCGTTATCTTTTATTCACAAAACTTTGGTTTTAGTCTTTTACTGGTATCTCTGTCTACTAGGCTGCTATAACAATGTGTGGGTCACACATAGTATTTTAGTTTTTCAGTTTGTTTTTTAGTTGAGAGCCACTGATCTAGTGCTGGTAGTGCCCGTATTTATGCATTCAACCATGAACTGAAACCCAAAGTCATATTTATCTATTCTCTTGATGTCTTAGCCCAGATGTCTAGTAGACATCTCATATCTATAAATCTTTCCCCCCTTCAGTTATCCCCTGTCTCAGCAAATGCCGCTGCCTTTCTTCTAGTAACTTCTGACGAAGTCCTTAATTCCCGTTCTCCTGTCCCCACTGCACCCTACCGCCATTCAGCCCACCAGCAAGGTCTTTTGGCTCTGCCTCTGAAATGGATCCCAAATCTATCCACTGATTTCCATTTCAATTTCCATCAACTTAACTCCAAGACACTGGCATCCCTTGCTTGGACCATTGTAACAGCTCCACACTGATCTCTCTTTCCCTCTTGTCTTCATAAAACCCATTCTTCATAAAACACAGCAGCCAAAGGGATCTTTTAAAAACCCAAACCAGATGATGCTCTTGTCCTTGAAAGTGGCTGGTGACTTTGCATTGCACCGAGAATGATCTCTCATCATCTAACTGTGGCCAACAAGGCCCTAGCATCTCTACCAGGGCTCCCACCATGCTGACCTTGGCTTTCCTTTGCCAGGAATGCCCACTTTCTTGCTTGTTTCTCTGCAAGGCCTCTGCATGTGTGCAGTGACCTAGACCCCCATGCTGGCTTCATTTTGTTAATTCAGGGCTTTTTTGGAAGTAAATGAGATATGTCATTACTTATATAGAATACTAGAGGCCCGGTGCATGAAAATTCATGCACTGGAGGGGGGCGGTCCCTCAGCCTGGCCTGGTCCCTCAGCCTGGCCTGCTCCCTCTCACAGTGTGGGAGCCCTCCGAGGCAGGAGGCGATTAGGGGAAGGCGACACCCCCATCACACCTCTGCTGTTGTCACTGCTGGCAGCACAAGCCTTGGCCAGCCCTGGTTCCCAGACTCTGGCGGCCCTGGGCGGCTGGAGGGCTGAGGGGACTGGGGGACTCTGGAGGCAGGTGCGTGGCAGCCCCGGTGGGGCTGAGAGGACTGGGCGCCGCCATCTTGTGGCTGTGGGTGCCACCATCTTTGAGGGCATGGCAGTCAATTAGCATATTCCCTCCTTATTGGTTGTGGGCGCCGCCATCTTTGAGGGCGTGGCAGTCATTTAGCATATTCCCTCTTTATTGGCTGTGGGTGCCGCCATCTTTGCGATGGCATGAGGGTCAATTAGCATATTCCCTCTTTATTAGATAGGATTCTTGAGTAATAGAAACCAAGAGCTATCAGTCAGTATTTTTGATTAGAGATCTTTGAATTTTCTTTGTGAATCGTCTGTAATCAATATAATCTTCGTTGCAAGTGGTGTCAAGTTTCCATCTGGAGAATAAATACTGATCTTGCTATTTTTTAACTTAGTGAGCTGAGCATCTCATTATGCAAATTTAATGAACAGTTTAAACATGCACAATAGGTTATTTTTAGTTATAGACATAAATTATGTTAATATAAAATTTAAAATGAGGCTTTTATTAATGTTAATATATCATAAATACAAGATGAGTTATTTATTTTAACTTTTTAATCACTCAGATTTTTACACATCATAACCAATGTTTTAAGGAAATTTGAATTTGATTTAAATTACCAAATTACTCGTGTCTTGAAGAAGAAATGTCTGATTTTAGTCTTTATTTATAATGATCTTTATGAAAAAATATTATTAAAATAATGAAGGAAAGTTACCAGACTTATTAACAAGATAAATGATAGGGTTTGTAATTCTGACTTTTGCTTTAAAAAAAGAGAGAGAAAGGAAATCTTCACTTAAATGCTGGAACTTTTCACAGCAGTCAGCTGAGTAACAGATTAAAAACACCATAAAATTGAAATTGTATGTGCAGCCTCTGCATTGTTTAAATCACATAGTAAAAGGGCAATAGGAAATGCATTTAACTTTTCAAAATGGAAACTGACTATGTGGGAAAATTCAGCATTATTTTATCCTAGAGAATTCTTTAAATTAGATGAAATAGTGTTCAGAAACTGGAAACAGGACCTCATTTTGTTCACATGGATTTCATTCTGTCCAAGTTTAGAAATGCTGGTGATAAAACTGCTTTTGTCCTTCGACCCACTTTGGGGTGGCTTTCCAAAGGGAATAATCCAAATTGCAGGCAAAGACTGATGCACAAAGATGTTGACTGTGGCATTGTTGATAATTTTGAAAAGCCAGGAGCCAACCAAATATCCATTGGTGGGGGGAATTAAGCAGATTGTAAAAATTAATTTTAATGGTTATACAATCTTTTATTTTTAGAAAGACAATTTAATGTTGTGGGGAAAAGCTCTGACATACTGCTAAATGGAATGAAGGATATATTTATACAGTATGATCTTAATTAGGTAAAAAATACTTTCCATAGAAGAAAATATGTTAATAGTGGTTCATTCTGAGGAGTAATTGTTGCTGGTTTGTATTTTCAATTTTTTCTAGGACAAGCTCATACTGCTTTTATAATAGCAAAAGGATTATTAAAAAAGGAAATAGGTGTCTAATAGGATATGAAGTATTCAAGCTTATTGTGTTTTAGAGCCAGAGAATAGTTGCAGGCATCATTAGCCTGGGAGCTGGTGACTAAGGGCTGTGATTGGGGTAGGAGGCTGTCTGAGAGCTTACACAGTGCAGAGGCATAATGCAGGGGAAGGTTCCTTCGTGTTTTTGCTCAGTTCTGCATCGCTGGCTGTCACTTGCTGATCAGAGAAAGTCTGGCTGCTGTCCGCCTTGTCTTTGACGAACACAGATAGGAAGGCAAAGTAATTATCTAATAAATGTGATCTATTTAGTAGCCAAATATTTTTGTGTGAACACAGACTTTGAGTTTTATTTCATTGCAAGCGAGGCAACCTATATGTGCGCATTCTTTTTCTCATCCAAGTTCTTTAACTGCTGAAATTGCCCTTAAAGAGACCACAAACATTGTAAAATGTGTTTGATTACTAATTCATTAAATTTTCCTGTCAGTTGGTACCAAATATTTTAAAACACGAGGCAACAGTGAAAGATTCCTGATGCTGTAAATTGGAAACCATTCTAGATGGTTCTTCAGTGTTTGGGTTCTCAGCCATGAATCATGAAATCACTTCAGTGGGTCTCCCAGCATTACGTTGTAAGTGAAATTAGCATACATGGAAAATATAGGGTCCATTGGGTATAGTAAGTATGAGTACTTTACGTTTTTATTGTAGGGGTGTGTTTATATGTGCTAGATTGTAAATGGAAAATGTGTGTGTTCTTAAAATGATGATTTTCAGTAAAAAAAAAAAAAGTCAAAAGTGTTCTTGTGACATAGACCAGTGCTTTTCAGTAAGATCCCAGGACCAGCAGCATAGGTGTCACCTGGGAGCCTGTTACAGATGCGGATTCTCGGGCCCCACCCAGACCTACTGAATCAGACACTCCGGGGGTGGGCCCAGCACCCTGTGCTTTAACCAGGCCCCTGGCCATTCTGGTGCACACTCAAATTCAGAACCACTGGTCTCGCCCTGCCTTCCTGGGTGTGGTCCGGAGTCTAACACTGGCATCACCTGGCAGCTCGCTGGAAATGCAAAATCCCAAGCCCCGACCTGGACCTACTAAATCAGAATCCACAGGCTTCAGGGGTGATTTGTATGCTCGGATTAAAGGTTTATCAAAGGTTTGGAAGCACTGATCTAAGCCACATATGCCTTCAGGGGCCAAGTAGACAATGTCAGTGAATGAAGGCAGCCTGGACTTCTCCATAGAGAGCACAGCCCGTCTCTGACTTATGATGGTTCAACTTATGATTTTTTTCTACTTCACGATAGTGCAAAAGTGATAGTTTAGTAGAAAATATACTTGGAAATTTGATATTCTCCCGACTAGCGATACGCCATATGATATTCTCTCATGATGCTGGACAGCGGCAGTGAGATGACTTTGCCCAATTGTAGCTACTGTTAGTGTTCTGAGCATGTGTAAGGGATGATAGCTATGATCTTCCTTAGGTTAGGTGTATTCAATGCATTTTTAACTTACAGTATTTTTCCCCAAATACATTTTTATAATTTCAGAGAGGAAGGGAGAGGGAGAGAGATCTAGGCTAAGCTATGATCTTCCATAGGTTAGGTGTATTCAATGCATTTTTAACTTACTGTATTTTTCCCTAAAATATATTTTTATAATTTCAGAGAGGAAGGGAGAGGGAGAAAGATAGAAACATCAATGATGAGACAGTATCATTGATCGGCTGCCTCCAGCATGCCCCCCCACTGGAAATCGAGCCCACAACCCAGGCATGTGCCCTGACCAGAATTGAACTGTG